CCATTGCCACCTCATTATCGTCACATCAGGCCTCATCATCACCATCATCGTCATCATAATCATCATCAGCAGCATCAGCGTCACCATCACCATCACCACCATGATTATCATAATCATATCACACTGGATGCAACAAAACATACTCGATATCAGGAAATAACCGGGCGGGGGAGAAGAAAACCTGAAACAGTAACTGACGTATCAAAAAAACGGCGGCAAGGCAAACAAACGAATGCACACCAATTGGAACTCCCCATAAACAATCGGCGGCGAATCGTCTTTACACCAGTACGGAATTATTATGGCGGGCTGCATTTTGCAATGAGTTGGAACAAATACAATGAGTAAACCAAACACATCTGAGCTCAGTAGTGATAAGATAAGCACAGAATATATTTCGAGAAAACATGGACGGGGCGTCAAAACAATAAACGATAAATCAATAGTTACTCCCGCATAAAACGATACTGCGAACCATCTGGTACTCTCAAAGGAGACCTTTTTGAGTACCCTTGAAGAGCAAGCCGTGCAATGCGACTCTCCAGAGAAAGACTCGCAATTCTATTCAAGGGCGTGCCGCGTGATGCGGAGTGGCGATACTTTTTCAATTCCCAACCAAGCGACACATTTCAACCCGCCTGCGGGCGCAACCGCAACCGCAACTAGGCGACAACAAGATGGCGGCGGGCTCGCCGGCCAAAATCAATTCAAAATGACGGCGGCGGGGGAGGGGGGCGCCCAGTCAGTACTGCAGTGAGCACCAAAGAAATCGTTGTGATATAATCATAATCATCATAATCCTCATCATCATAATCATCATCATAATCATCATCATCATCATCATCATCATCATCATCATCATCATCATCATCATCATCATCATCATCATCATCTCGCCGTCACCATCACCATCACAATCATCATCAGCACCATCATCATCATCATCACCATCACCACCACCATCATCATCATAAGCATCAGCAACAGCATCACCGTCGTCGTGGTCAGCAATGTCCCCGCCGTCGTCACGAGCATCCTCAGCATCATCATCACCACCATCATCATCATCACCACCATCCTCATCAGCATCCTCATCATCGACGTCATCATCATCATCATCATCATTACCATCACCCTCACCATCTTCATCATCACCATCACCATCACCATCATCATCATCATCAGCATCATCATCATCATCCTCATCCTCCTCATCATCTCATCATCATCATCACCACCATCATCATCATCATCACCACCATCATCATCATCACCATCATCATCATCATCATCGTCATCGTCATCGTCATCGTCATCGTCATCGTCGCTGTCGCCGTCTAGTCCAGTTTTGCCAGCAAGATCGGGTGTAGGGGTGGGATGTTTGCTCGAGCATTGCAGTGGGCAACTACAGTATTGGCGAAATGGACACGTCATTATCCTTCGACGCACACGCACGTGCAAAATGCATACACATGCATACATGAACGCACATACACACGTACACAACAAGCGGCAACATCAGCATGTTGAGAAAAAGGGCCGTGTTATCATCAACAGAAATAGAGGCTGGCTCATTCATTCGTGCTGAGAGTGCGCAACGTCCGCCAACCGAAACCAGTGAACAGAAACCATCAGATACCATCAGAAAAAAAACAAGGCCAGGCAAGCGGTGTGGCCAGCCAACAGTATGGTCTGGATTATGGTTTCTGCGACAGCCCATTTCTGATGCGGACACTGGCTTCACACAGAGATTCCTCTCGAAATAATTAAACCGATTCACAGACCAACCTCGCCTAGCGTCACAAGCGCGGAGCTAGAGGCGCCGCCAAGGGGCCCCGTCGCAGATCTGAGAAATCCGCGTAGATATCTGACAACGTCATGCTTATGCCGTTTGTGCTTCGCCGGTTCTGGGCCGCATTGTTTGCACGCCTTTGGAAATACTGGCATGTATGAAACGGGTCCTGAGAGAAACTGGTCCTGGAACCCGGGGGGCCTTCCCCAAGCCCAACTCTTCATCTTGAACCGTTTTCGGAATCCTGGGGCCCGAGGGCCCTGGGAGGCCGAAATTGGTGAGAAACCTCATGGCCGTCTCCCTCCGTCGTTGCGAAAACGTTGGCGGAGAGCCCAGGGAGGGAATGCCGAGGGGGGCGGGCCTATGCCCAACGGCTCGGAAGGCCCCCAGCCCTCCGAGGAGCTGTTTCTGAGCCTGCTCCGCAGACCGAGGCGGCTTCTCGAGAAGACCAGAGGACACGCCGCCTTTCTGAAGAAAGCCTGCCCCATCTCGTGACCACGGGGCCGACCGTCCTGGCACTCCCGTAGGCCTACAGTCGGGGTTGATTGACGAGGACACGCGAGAGGACACAAGACTCCTCCGAGGGCCACACTGCCACATGAATCTAGAAGCATGGGTCGCGAGGCACAGGACAGAAAGGTACCCTTGATTTGGCAAGGTCGACCTACTAATCAGCCTCGACTGCACCACGGATAATTCAGGTTTTAGCAACAAAAACAGTATTTCCCTAGAACAGAGAGCCGATGCATCAGACGAAGCCCACTTCAGCCAGAGATGCTCTCATAGAACACTTCGTGCAAGCCACAAGAGGTTCTTAGAGAACTCGGGTGCGGCCAAGAGGGGGGTGTCCAAGAGGGGGGGGCGCAAATCATGGCCCGCGGCATGTGCGCGGCCTAGGGGGGGGGACCAGGGACGCAATGAAACAAGAAGAGGCGCGATGAAACCTGGGGAAATATGTCATGGCCCCCGCCCATGCTATCCAACCCCCCCTGGACATCCCCCCCTCTTGGCTGCCCTAGACAAACACTTTGCGAGGGGACCACAGGCAAGCCGGGGCGCCTCGCCCCTGCTTGGCTGTCTCGTTCCTCCTCCTCCTCCTCCTCCTCCTCCTCCTCCTCCTCCTCCTCCTCCTCTCCTCCTCCTCCTCCTCCTCCTCCCCCTAGAGCGCGCCGCCGAGCGTAGCACCCGCGCGCGACCGTCTGCCGGCCTCGTGGCTGTCGAAGCCGGTGCGCGGCCTCCTCGGCCGCCGCTCCGCCGAGCGGGCGGAGCCGCTGCTGCTCCTGGCGGCACCACCTCCCTCTGCCTACCCCCCCCACGCTGCAGTCACCAACAAGTTCCTCCTCCTCCTCCTCCTCCTCCTTCCCTACTCCTCCTCCTACTCCTCCGCCTCCTCCTCCTCCTTCACTCCTCTCCTCCGCCTCCTCCTCCTCCTTCCTCTCTCCTCCTCCTCCTCCTCTTATCCTCCGCCTCCTCCTTCTGCTCCTTCTCCTCCTCCCCTCCTCCTCCGCCTCCTCCTCCTCCGCCTCCTCCTCCTCCTCCTCCTCCCTCTCCTCCTCCTCCCTCTCCTCCTCTCCTCCTCCTCCTCTCCTCCTCCTCCTCCTCCTCCTCCTCCTCCTCCTCCCCCTCCTCCTACTCCTCCTCCCTGGGCGCGGCGGCGCGCCCAGGGGGGAAGGCAGAGGGGGGCAGGCCCAAGGAAGGCAGCGGGCAGGGCAGCCGAGCCATCCCGTAGCGCGATCACAGATCCCAGCGCGGCGGGGCAACCGGAGGGCGGCGCGCGGACAGCGGGGGGCCATGCCAAGAAACACCCTACGGGCTCTGCTGCCCCGCCGTCCTTCACGCGGGCTTCGGGTCGGGCATGTCCTCCTACAGGCGGATGTTGGACGAAAAATCAAGAGCACCCCAACAAGACTCAAACAAATAATCAAACAAACAATCGACAGATCGTCCCCAGGCTATTTTCTTGCAATTTCTGAATATTCCTCCTGTAGGGGGACATGCCCGACTTAAAACACACTGATGGGCGAACCTGTGCATTCTTCGCGGTAACAACCGTGACCAGCGCCCCTCTCCCCGCCTTCCCCCCTCCCCCCCCCAGTCCGTCACGATTCGCGCTGGCGCCGCCTGGGCATGAGCCATGCCCAGATAATCAAATGGCGCTGGCGCGAATCGTGACGTGACCGGCCCCCTCCCCCCTCCTCCTCCCCTCACCCAGGTCACGCCCGCCATCGCCAGGGCATAGCAAAATTGTGTCCATGTGCGGTGGATGCTGAATCCCCAGCTGTCTTTCGGCGGCGAGCCCAGGGGAAAGTGAGAGGAGGCGAGCCTTCTCAAAGGCGGAGGGGCTCCTCAGAAGCCCTCCTCGCGCCTCCTGAGAAGCCCTGCAGGCCTTCTCCGAGGTCACAGACGGCTTGTCAGAAGGCCTGCCCCCTCTCACGTCCCCCCTGGGCTCGCCGCCGAGTCTTGACTCTTTAGACTGACCCAGAGGCCGCCTCGCTAAGTCTCGGCGAGGCCTAGACTTAGCGCGAACCCTGCAAGTCTCCAGCTCCAGCTGCGGTGTAGCTTCGCCTCTCCGCGTGGCCCCAGGGCAGCTCCAAGACAGTCCAAGACCGCCCCCCCCCCCCCCGACGTTCGAGACGGCCCAAGACCACCGCAAGACGGCCCCTGCCCAAGGCCCTGAACGAAGACGGCCCCAACAAGACCCCCTCATGGCAGCCCTGGGGACTCGCCCAATTGGGCAGCACCGAGACAGCTCCCCGAGAGAAGGCCCCCCGGAGTCCCCAAAACATTCCTCCACGAGGTCCCCAAGGGGTCTCCCGAGAGGCTGAGAGGCCCCGAGGAGGCCCCCAAGAGGAACCACAGCAGCCACGCAGTGCTGCAGCGCTGTGCCACGACGCTGCGGCGCTGCCGCGCAGAACTGCCCCGGTCGTGGTGGCGGGCGTGCCCGGCAGCGCACTGAATGGGCCCGCGGAGTGCTGTGCCGTCCTCATATCCGAGCCATCCCCTTCGACCCTCTGCCTCGACATCAACGACTGGGCGCTCGCAGGGCAGAGCGGATATTTAGCTCGGCCGCTCGCTTCCAGGCCCTCCTGCGCCCACACTTCAGGCCGCCCTATTTTTCGCGCCTCGCACCGCCACCTCGCCAGATGTCCATCGGCAGGCCATCGACTGTTGGTCACGGCGACGAAGAAGCTGATGGAGATGACGACCATCAGTCCAGGCGCAGCGCCATGACCTGCAGGTCGGTCGTGTCGTTCAGCGCCAGGTGCGAAGGGAAGTCCCACCCGCCACCGGCCCAGCGCTGCACCATCCCCGCGCGCCTCCGGGCGGACCAGACCCCAAGATTCACACAGCGAAGCAGCCGCACCGCCGACATGGTGCGGCTTCGGCACGCCACGAGCAGCAGCCCCCCAGGGCGCGCCGTGGCCGCAGCGGCCGCCACCCACGCGGCGTACTGCTGCGAGCCCTCCTCCAGTCGGCCGTAGGTGGGCGCCAGAGGCGGCGGCTCGATCGCCACGACGTCGAAGGTCGCGCCACGCCCCAGGCTCGAGGGCAGGGCCTGTGGAGCCTCGGCGTGGACGCACTCGACGCGGCTGCGGCAGCCGTTCCTGGCGGCCAGGTCCTCCAGGCGAGCCTGGCCGACCTCGCCCAGGCCCACCACGCAGGTGGCGTGCGCGCCGGCCGCGGCGCACGCGACCCCGCTGCTCTCCCCGAAGAGGCTGAGCACGCGCGGCGGGGCGCCCGCGCCGGAGGCCAGCCGAGCCACGACGCCCACGAGGAACCCGCGCTGCCGCCGCTCGAGGAAGGAGCGGCCGGGCGACCAGTCGCTGGCGAGGAGGTCCGCGGCGTAGGAGAAGCCGGCGTCCGTCGGGTGCACCACGGCGGTGGGGCCCTCGTAGCGCCCGCGGGCCACGACCGGAGGCTGCGCTGGTGCGAGCTCGAGCTCGCGGTCGGGCGTGTCATCGCGCCGCACAACGATGCAGCGCGGCGACAGGGTCGCCTCCAGCGCATCGAGGACCTCTTGCTCGAGGAGCAGCTCGGCACCTGCTGCACCGAACTGCACGCACAAGTCGGCGCCGTATCTATCGCACAGGATGCCGGGCAGCATGTCCCCCTCCGCGTTGGCGAGTCGGTAGAAGGGCGGGACGCCGTCGGAGCGCTCCCTGTGGAGCAGGGCGCGCCGGATGCGCGCGGCGAAGAAGCTGGAGTCTATGGGCACAGAAACGTTGTCAGACAGCATTCGGGCCAGGATGTTGACGCCTGCGAGGGGGAACGACCAGGGGGGACCGGCTCCGGGAGGGGAACACTGACTTGGAATCGCCGATCCACCGCCGACAGATCGGCGACAGGCCCCCAATAGCAAAATCGCACGCTCCTGGGTAATCGGGCCCCCATCGGCGATCAGTTGGCAAATGGGAGTCGAGGCATCTTCGGTGGCAACTCATGGGAGCCTTCCATACCAACTTGTTGGCTCTTGCGAATCGACGAACGTCGCCGCTAATCGATGCCAAATCGATGCGAATCGACGCTAGACGACGCTACATCGGCGTCATCTCACCGACTCCCAGACGCGAATCGACGCTAGTCGACGCTCAAAACGGAATCAAGAGGGTACACCAAGCTCCCATGATTTGCTACCGAAGGAAACCTGCTGGGAATTGACGAAGAAGTCCGGAAATCTCCGACCTCGAACCTCCCCCCCTTCGAATAGGGATCGACTATAGCGTTGACTCACCCCACGATGGATTTTTCCCTGCCGAATCCAAGATGTTACTCGACAGGCAAAATCAATGTCGGGGTAAATCAATTCTGTAGTCGACCCTTTACTCTAGAAGAAGACAGAGCCATAAACATAAACGGTCGGCGCTCTGCGCGGTCCTCCGAGTTTTTATGTTTATGCTTTTCTTCGTTCCCCTAATGTAGTCGATCACCTACTCGACCCCCGAGCCTGTCTTGCCTCCCCGCTGCAGGTTGCAGATGGCCGTCCCCAGCTCTCGGCCCTCGCTGCTCTCCACGCTCACAAGAGCAGCGGGGACGCCGAGGGCGCGCAGCTCGTCGACGTTGGCCGCCTCGTTCCTCGCAGGTACGAGCAAGAGCCGGCACGGGCACAACAACCGAAAACATGATCAAGAATCCTCGTCCTCGTCCTCGTCCTCGTCCTCCTCCTCCTCCTCCTCCTCCTCCTCCTCCTCCTCCTCCTCCCGGCAATCAACCTCGAAACACCGCCGTGCCCTCTCCCTCGTGCCGCCCTGCAAGGACGCACGATAAGGATGCAAGGGCCTTGGAAGGCCGTCTCGAAGCTCTTCTGGGCGGGGCGCGGCCAGCGAAAGCGGCCAAGGATGGACCGACGAGGCAAGGACGCAATGGCACCCTTGGGAAGCTTGCCCATCCTTGCTACGCGGGTTGACTGCATCATGTAAGAACTCGGGGCCAGCCTTCTGGAAGTTTCTTCAAACAAGCCTGGGCCGATTTCTGCTGTTAACGCTTGAGGGGCGAACGTGCGCAAGAAACGGGACCAGCTTTCCGGCAAGCTGATTGAAAAACGATGGCCCAGCTTTTCGGGAGGAGGCTTCTTACGAAGGGGGCCAGGGACACACAAATAAATGCACACAACTCCCAGGATTCCGCATATTTTTACACATTTTTGGGATCTTCGTCTTCCCCCACTTCCCATACTTTCGCATATTTTCTGGGAATCGACGATTCATGGTGTCCGTGTTTTTCCCCCTCCCGATCTCAACCAGATGCTCGACCGAAAGTGCCGGAGGCCCGCGCGGGAACTTCTTGGATCGGCGCCGGTGCGGAGAAGATCTGCCAAAAACAGCCACGGGAGTCTCCGGTGCTGGGGCTCGGTGGAAGGGGAGCAAGCTCGCTGGCCACCTGGGCGGGGCCGGGCTCCCATGATGCCCATATGTCCACCGCGTGTCGGCTCTCGGCATCCGCATGCCCGAGGAATGCCGAGGGACGCTATCGACAGGGGCCGATCTTGCCCACAGCTGGACCCCCTCCCCGGCCTGCGAGGAGCACGCCAGGGGTCCGGCGCTGGAGGCGCCGCCCCAGAGGGGACCAAGCGCAGAGCTGCGAGAAATCCGCGGACCTCCGACGCCTGCTGCTCACGCCGTCTTTCAAGGGGCCCAGAGACACGCAAATAAATACACACACAAATCCCAGGATCCCCCATATTTTCCCATATTTTCTGGATTGTCGTATTCCCCCCCCCACTTCCCATACTTCCCCACCTCTTCCTGGGAGTCGACGACTCATTGTGTCTGCGTGTCTCTTTTCCTCCCCTCCTCCCGAGCCTTTGCTCCCCCGGCTCCTGTAGACCCAGGGCACCAGGCGGGAGACCCGCGCGTCGCCGCCCTTCAGCCGCCGCCGGCGCGGCAGCAGGCGCAGGCGGGGCCGACCGGACGGGCGGTCCCCGGGGCCGGGCGCGGAGGAGCTGCTGGCAGCGCCGCCGGCTCCACGTGCCGCGGGCCGCAGCGGCGAGGCCGCCGCGCCGGCCGCGCGCGCGGCCGCCTCTCGCTGGAGCGCCCGCGCAGCCATCGCCACGGCTGCATGGCCGGCCATATGCCCAGATCTCCTCGCGCCGTGACAAAAAATCCCGACGGGAGGTTTCGCGCTATTTTCGGCCTCCGGGGGCCCTCACCGGGCCTCGGGACTGTCAAAAAACGACTCAGGACGAGAAACCGGTCCCAGGGAAGGGTCCAGACCTCTGGGGGTCGACGTTGTGAAAAAATCATGACGTCGGGGGTCTGGGTGGGTAGGCGCTCGAGCCAAAGCTTACACGGACGGGCTCGGCATGGCGCGGCGGTGGCCCGAGCGGCACGCTATATGCCTTGACAGAGCAGATGGCGTGATGCCCGCTCCGCAGGGGAGAAGCTCGGGACGTTGTCGTCTGGGGACTGGTTAGTTAACTTGTCGCGCCTGAGCGTGGTTGGCCGGACCCGGCGGCGAGACACGTTAAGCCAGCCTTCCTGACCGTGTACAGTAGATGCACACGTGAAGAGATCTTGCTATGGGAAGCCCAGGGGCACATTGTTCGGTCGCCCTTGGACCTCGCAAAGTGACACACACACACACACACACACACTACGCTCGCACGCACGCACACGCACATGCACGCACGCACGCACGCACACACGTACGCCCCGCCCCCCCCCCCCCCCACACACCCCCACACACACACACACACACGCACGCACGCACGCACGCACGCACGCACGCACACAAACACACACATACACACATTCACACACTCACACACACACACACGTACGCACGCACACGACCATATATATGTATCTGTATATATACATAGATAGATAGATAGATAGATAGATAGATAGATAGATAGATAGATAGATAGATAGATAGATAGATACACACACACACGCACAATATTGGCGTTGAGGCCGCGCGCGTTGCGGCGCGACGTAGACAGTCGAAGGGAGCGAGCTCGCGGCGGGGCCAGCTCACGCGGCGGGACGGTCAAGGATCCGCCTATAGGGAATCAGTGTGTCGCTCGCGCGGGCTTGCGAGGGAGAGGGGATGAGATGCGGCAGGTGGAGGTGAAGTACTCTCACACGCACAAGCACGCACGCACGCACGCACGCACGCATACACACGCACGCACGCACGCACGCACACACACAGACACACAGACACACAGACACATACTCACACACACAAAGGCGCACGGGCACGCACGCACGCACGCACGCACGCACGCACGCACGCACACGCACACACGCACACCACACACGCCCACACGCACACACACACACACACGCGCACACGCACACGCACACGCGCACACGCACGCACGCGCACACGCACACGCCGCACACGCACACGCACACGCACACGCACACGCACACGCACACGCACACGCACACGCACACGCACACGCACACGCACACGCACACACACACACACACAAACACACACAATCTCACACACACACACACACACACACACACGCACACGCACACGCACACGCACACATGTTCACGACGTGCACACAGGCCCGACGAATCACATCGCGAAGCTTGCGAATGCAATGCGAGTACCTGCCGCTGGCTTGCAGGTGCTCTTGTCCGAGTGGCCAGGCCGCGCGCGTGCAGACATGCTGCGCTCGCTCCGACCCTCACCACTATCGGGGCGGACGAATAGGGGAGGTACCAATTATGCTGGATCGAGTCTCAAGGTAAATGAAAAAGGGGCCACGCGTTTCGCCTCCAGCGGCACACTGTGTTCCGCTTCCTCATCACATGCCTGATGACACTCAGCCTTGCGCTGAACCCATACGACATTTAGCAGGTGCAGCCCGTCTGCGGTGCAGACCTCGGGGGAAGTCCCGTTGCAAAGCCCGCTTTGGTACCTGCTCTGCGTCCAGGCGCTGGTTCACCCTCGCCGTCTGGACGTGGAATGTCTCATCGGCGCACCGCTGGTGCAGCTCCGTCTTTAATGTCGGGCACGCTGCGAGCTGAGTCAGCAGATGACGCGAGCGCTCACACTCTGGGGATATCTGTTGCATCGTCAACCCCAGATACCTGACGATCTCGGGCGGATCCGAAGGGCCCGTCGACAGGGAAGCCTTCCTTTGGCCGTGGTGAAGGTGCCAGTGGTTCAGAAGCCAGCAGGCCTCAGTCTTACACGGGACAGAGATGGAAATAGCCTGCTTCCTCCTCTGTTTGCGCGGTGGTCTCATTCTGCCGCTTTCACACGTGCTTCAGTTCCGGTTGGGTGCCTGTATACTTCGAGCAGTTCTGCACTCTTGTACTCCAAGTTCCTGAGGCAGAGCACACTTCTGAGAGGTGTCTTTTCTTACACCTTCGGCTTCTCGTTCCGAACGAGAGCCCATCTTAGGCCGCGATTCCTGTATCAGGCCTCAAGCAGCCTGACTCTTTTGCTCTGCAGAGGACAGGTCGCCCATGTTCAGCCTCCTTTCGCGCGTTGCGCCCCCAAGGGGCCCTTTCGGGCCGGATTGCCTACAATAGGGGACCGACCACCAGAAACTTTTCACAAGAAACCCAGAGACCCCAGGACGTCCCTTGATTTCTGGTGTGGGAACGTCACGCTTTCCATGGCAAAGCCATCGAAATCCAAGAAACCCAGGGCACCCTGGAGGCAAGCAGCGTGTTTCTTGGCATGGGTCGACACTGAGGAAACAAAAAATCCTGGGGTGCGTTCTGACCAAAATTTCGGGGCGGATTCAGCGGTGGCGAGGGGGGCCTCCCAGGAGGCCCCAAAAGGGGAAAACGAGCGAAGGGTAGAGGTATGGGTACATTTTCCTCCCCTGATAAACTGTACCCCAATCTCCAGATCCTCACCTCTCCTCCGACACGGCATTGGATTTTTTGTCCGGCCGTGGGCTGACGCAAAGCCTCGGCTTCCAGCAGTAGTGACGACGGCAGGCCTCAAGCGCGGCGAGAGGGGCCACGAGGGCCCGAAAAGGCAACGCACGGACGAGGGCAAGGGGGATGAAAAGGAGGGGGATGAGAAGGAGGAGGAGGAGGAGGAAGAGGAGGAGGAGGAGGAGGAGGCGGAGCGAGGAGACTGCGGCGGAAGTGAAGCGGTGGCGATGGCGAGGGCGGTGGCGCTGTGACCCGGTGGCGGTGGTGGCGCTGAGACCTGGTGGCGAGGGCAGCTGCCATATCAAGAGGCTCCGTGTCCGATGTCTCGGTGGACACGAGCTTTCCCTGAACAGCGTGTCTCCAGGGGTCCAATCGGATTTGTCGGACGCCTAGTGAGGGATGCCGGAGAGAAATCCCGAAATCGGTGGCCTGCCATCGTGGCCCTCCATCTTGTACGACTGTAAAGCTGCCGAGGGTCTTCTGCCGCAGCGGTGTCATTTCAACCCCAGCGTTTCCCCCCTCATTTCGACCTCTGCTGGAGCGGGCGCGGGTGCTGAAGCTTGCAGCTGACTTGAGATGACCGCAGAACCTTCTGAACGCTAAGCAACTATTATGTATGGGCGCCGTGCTTGTATTCTAACTCAACCCACATTCTTCATCATGAAATATCCACCCATGGTCTCGAACGCCATACATGTCTACGACGGTGAAAATACA